AGGGGGCGCCCCGTCCGCGCTCCGGGCCCGCCAGCTCTTTCCTGGACCCGGGCCTGGACCGCAGCCGGCTCTCGGGCGCAGCCGCCTCGCTGGGCGCCCAGGGGCGTCCCTGCCGCGCAGTCGGCCCCCCTCTTCCAGCGCTCGCGGCCCAGCCTCCGGTGCGGACGCGGGCAGGGCCAAGGGCACGGGGCCTCCGCAAGCCCGCACTCCTACAGCCAGGGCCACCAAGCAGCCCTTCATCAGGGCCCCCTTCAGGACCGTGCGACTCTGATGGGCCTCTAGGGTCACTGCTTAGGATAGGAGGCGGGAAGGAGGGCTGTGTGCACCACGGGTCCTGGGGCGCTGCGCGAGCACACACACTGCGCCCGGTGAGCAGGTGCGACTGGGCCCTGGGCAGTGTCCAAACAGGAGCCATGGGGTTTTGTTCTTGATGCTTTGGGGGGTGAAGACTGAGCCCAGGGCCCCCTCGCACATGCTGCAAAGCGCTCTACCGCTCAGCTACATCCTCAGGCCTCGTTTTTTACTTCTAAGACAAATTGCTGTGTTGCCCAGGTGCCAACTCTTGGAGGGCCGAGGCAGGTAAGACCGTCTAGCTGTGTAGTTTAGCTTGGCTTTGAGCTCCCTGTGTAGCCTAGCTGGCCTGTACTCACAGCGATGCTCCTGCCTCATCTCCCCAAGTGCTGGGATTACAGGTATGCACCACTATGCTCTGCCAGGCTCCAACTCTTGGCTTCAAGCGGTCGTGCTGCCTCAGCTTCTAGAGTGCGCACAGGTCCAGTGCCACCATGCCAGCACAAGTCCAGTGCCACCATGCCAGCTGCTTACAAGGAGTTTTAACTGGCAGGTTAAAAGCAGACAGGCTGGAGTCCAAGGGTCCCTACACAGCTCAGGTGGGTGTGGCATCCACGGGGAAGCCCAGCAGCTAGATCCAGCCCTCCCAAGGGGAGGTGGTTGCCCAGCGGACAGCTGGTTGGTCACTTGAGGAACTGGGGGTGACACTCCAGCCAGGGTGGTCATGGGCAGCGCAGTGGAGGCGTGGTGGGGACCAGCAGTGCTGATAAGGGCTCTCCTTAGGGGAGCAGCAGGTGACTCCTCTCTGTGGCCTGTGGGAAAGCCTGTCAAGGCTTACAGAACTGGAGCCAGCTTCTGTTCTGATTGAGTTAACCTTGTACTAGAAATTCTTTTTTTT